GTGTGCTCTTCCGATCTCCCCAAAACCCCAAAACCCCAAAACCCCGATGTAATCTCAAGAAGTAGATAAGAATGAATAATTTTAGATTCAAATTTAAAGCATTTATTAAATAAGAATCAATTCCTGAGTAGCTTAGCTATAGAGAAATCATAGATCAATTGAAATGAATGACTTACTTATAATGTAACCAAATATGCTCGGCCAGATCATCTACCAAACCCTCATTATATGCAATGGCTAAATTTTTAGTTAGAGATAATTTATGCTTGAAATATAAAAATGATCAAATTTACCTCATTGGTAGCTATTGCAGGTATCATTAGGATTGGAGCCCACACACTAGCTTTCAAATGTGCTGAGAACAAAATATACCTCAATTTAGTTATCTCCTACCTATGATCTTATTTCCTCTTTTAGTTCATTGAAAGTTTTGAACCCCTATCCATTAAATGATGTCAGTCTTGCCTCATAGCCCAAGTCTTTAAATAAGTTAAAATGGTCTTCTTAATGAGCGCCATAACTTTTAAGACTATATTCTTATACAATATAAGGTATTTTATGCTCTTTCAGAAAATTTTTCCCTCCCACAAACACATCATATTCAAACTCTTCAACATCAATTTTTAAGACTCCAATCTTAATATCGGGTGATATGGTTTTCGTATACGAATCTAAGGTTCTTATAGGTACCTCCTATCTTAAAATAACATTAGAAACGTCAACTACTTTAGAATGGTCATTAATATCATCACCGCATCTAATAATTCCATTTTATGTGTTTTGGGGCTGTGAATATAAATTGCAAGTCTCATTTTTAGCACCTAAGGCGAATTTCTCTAGTTATATGAGATTGCTTACATTTTAGTTAAGACACATTGCATATTCTATAGCCTTATAGTTTTGATCTAATGGTTCAAATGCAATAACATTGTAATCAAGTGAAGCAGCCATGAATGTGAACCATCCAAGATTAGCTCCTATGTCCAACAAAGCTATTTTATAGTCAGGATATTAAATAGAAATCTTTTTCAGAGCATTTACAATTTAAATAGAATTATGATCCTCCCAAGAATTTGTTTCGAAAATCACATAAGATATGATATCGGTATGCGGCATATTTTTTTGTGGTCTGACAGTAGCAATTTTAAATTCTTTATATCCATTCTTAGCTTTAATACTATTGACTTCATAGTAAATTCCACCTTCTTATATTCCAGCCTATTCTCTACATAAAGAATCTTCTTATTGTAAAGTTCTTATCTACTAACTTAGTAGACCATTATCCTCACCATTCTTTGAATTTAACTTATCCTGAGATGCACTTGCTTAATTAAGAGATGCTTCTTATTAGGAATTAAGAAAAGTGAGATAGCATGATAACATGATAAAAAGTACTCTCTAGGCAAACATTAATATTTAATATAATTATTATTAATTTTACTTTTGAGACAAATCAACCAAAAAAGTTCTCATTATCACTTGTTTCTCTTGAACCGCTGGCTTGTTTTTACTCAATTTTTTCTAGAGTTTACACAGAAGGATAGATAAAAGCAAGAAAAATATGCATATACCAATACTAAGATTGACAGATGGCTTTAATTCAAGATTGAATCTTAATTAGACGACTATTATTCTGAGTTGTTCTTTAAGATCATTACTCTGAACCAAATAAATTAAACTAACTCTCCAAACTCAACCACTACCAGACAAATTGATAAAACACACATTTCTAATGCATTAGTTACCCTTTTTCACTATGTTTGAGGGTATCAAAGAGTACTACATTAAATTTGATGAGCCAAAAAGGCTCCCTTTGAGTGTACAAAAGAGTTAGTAACACCCATTTTTTACAATTTTCTCTTTGGTCGGTGGATTTGGAGTAAACTTCACAAGTACAAGTTCGTAGAAGAACGTTATCCAATGTTCAAGCAATTCATAAAGGAATTGATCCCGTTTGCCACGTGAGAGTAAGAAAACATGCTATTCGAAAAGAGAATATTAGAGATGTCAGCGTGGTTCAATCTAAGAAGCTACTATTTTCTCGAGGGACATTGTGATCAAATGAACGAGTTGTTGCCTAAATATGTCACGTTTTTTTACAGCACTTCAGAATATGAAGTTTGAGGGTATCAGAGATCTCGAACTTCATCAGCTACTAGGTAGACGGCAAGATAGTATGTGCAGGCTTAGTAAAGTTTCTCAAGTAGGTACCAGCACAACAGACTACTCACTATTGCATCGTGTACTTCATACACAATCAATAGTAATACAGGAAGTAAGGACACGCAACAAGACTTATGGGAATAATTGTGAAGAGTATGAAAGCACAGCTCATCTTAGGTTGGGGTCCTCTTGTGAAAATGATATTTTTGCATGCTTCTATAGAATCCAAGGAATTTATCAAGGATCTAGGGTTCTCGTGTGCTAATACTGACTTTTATAAATAGAAACGCGATTCGTATTCATTGATGTAATTAGACATTAGCAGCAAAAGAGAACCATAGCTTGAATGGTTCCAGAAGTTTAAATTAATTTACGATAAAGAGTTTCCTAAAGCATAAACGCCAACACTGATTTAAAATGAAGTAGTGAAGAACGTCGTTTACTAGATTGAACTGCCAAAAAAGTTCAACCATGTCAACAAGAATGCCTAAAGAAATGATAGTTCTCAGGAACACAGTCTCTGTTTTGAAAAGTGCAGCAAATTAATAACAACAGGAAGCTGCTATTGATGTTGATGAACTCTGTTGAAGGATGTAGTACTAAGAAAGTCATTGACTATCGTAACTGGCTGGCCAAGGCATGTTAAAAGTCATACAACTAAAGGTATGCCTAAAGATTCAGTCTTCTTTGTTGCTTGTCGAAGTGCTGAATGTGATATATGTCTTCTAGGTAAGTATTTTACTAAAGCCAGTCACATAGTCAAAAGATGCCCATGACTAGCTAGTCACCTAGCCAAATGGTACCAATGACTAGCTAGTTACCTAGTCAAACTATACATATCTTAACTTATAGTCACCCAAACAGATAATAAGCATGGTAAACATAAAGTATAAACTTTTTCCATGTGTATAGAAGAGAAGAGAATTGATCTCTTTGTCAAGGGTGTGAGTCTAGAGGTGTGTAAGTTGTGT